ATATGATTTATTACTAAAAGAATACCCTATAAATATTTGAAATGCAACTAAAGAGGCTTTCATTTGATTTTAAATGAATAAATGATAGAACTAAATATACCAAAACATGTCTAAGAAATGTCCAGGAATATTAAAATTATTTTGAATTTAAAGTTGAGGGTATAAAAGGTAAAATAATGTTAATGTTTTCATTAAAACTAGAGCATTTCCCAGTCTGATATCTCTGCAAAAATTATTTAATTTGCTATTGGAAATCTGAGCAGCGGAAAAACCTCGAGCAGGTGTCTGATAATTTCTTTATGATTGTTCAGTTCATTTCAGAAATCTGACAAACGAAGACAGATATACCTTTCTATATGACTTTGACATAGATTTTAGCAAGTACACAAAATAATTACTCTGTTGAGCAGGGTTCTTTCTCAGTTTGTTGGCTACTTTTTTATTCATATTTCAATTTTTATTGTTGTTATTTTTTGTCGTACATATATGTTTATATATATGTATATTCCCGAATGAATCAACTCCGATTGAAGAAGAGGAGTGAGTAATTGACAAAGCATTTCTTGGCGCCTCCCATTACGGAAGTTCACTTCGCGAGGTCACTCACTGAAATCCAAGAACAGACCCTGCTTCGGGTGTCTTTCAATTATTCTAAGTCGGTCAATGTCAGGCACGCGTCAAGTTAACATTTATAATATATATATATAACATAACATATATGTATTTGGGAATATATATATGGTTATTGTTGGGCCCTGCCTTGAACGCGATTTTAACAACGCATGAGGTAATCCCACATACAGTGATATGCCATATAGTTTCATGTTTCCGGAGGGGATTTGGACACAGGTAAAAGGTAAAGGTGTCTCCTCCACCACCTTCCTTCTCTTATCAGGTTCTTCTTCCCGTTGGATGCGATGACGCACCAGACGGAAGACACACTGTTGGAGGATTGTTTCGAGGCCTGGAGGAGACCGGCTGATCGAACGGGTCGGTCGTTGCCTCTGGACAACCAAAACCAATTGCAGTAAATCTGTCAATTAATATCCAGAGAAGTCGGGACTGAGGCGGTGAGTGAAACATTGTTATGTATAAAATATAGCAACAAAGTCCGGAAAAGATATGCCAAAAAGTTGCGAAAAAAAAAGAAGAAAGACAATGGCCCAAGGCTCATGTGATGGGTGCTAAGAAAGAGAACCCAAGGTTTAAGTACAGTGATATTTAGCAGAAATATTAAAAAAATAATCTAGGTAGATAGATTCAAGATTATAGATGTTGCCAATAATGAAAATTATTATAAAACCTTAAAAATTTTATGACAGCTTTAGAGAATCTAACATTTTCTAAATAATATAAGGTGGTATCTCGCAATTTATTCGTAGTTTTATAATTTCCATTGATAAAAATAATCTATAAATTCTTTTTAAAGAACAACCACTGTATTTAAAACTAAGAAACCACGAACAGAGAACGTAGAGAACATTGTCAGCAGACATTCTGCATAAAATATTCAACTTTATAGAGAGAATTTTCTTGATTACTTCTGCCCGACTAATTGACAGCTTGGACAATGGCAAAATTAGCTTTCTGCGAATGTGTGTGTTATGAGTACAAGTTATGAGCTCAGCTCATGGATGATGATGACAACATTTGACCATGGGGGCCAAGTCGGGCATAAGAAGTTAATGGAATTTATCTTTTCTCATAAAAGTTATTTAAATATTGCAAAATTCTTGGTAAGAGAACAAGAATTTATATTCCAGATGCTTGCGCTAGAAGCAAAACAACGGATTTATATTGTAGCAATAAAATTCTTTGATTTAAAGCGAATACTGATGATTAATCAGTACAGATTTTGAGGCTCTTGTTGATGAAAATAATACTTTGCTTATTTATAGAGAAACCCGTGTTTTCTTATAACATGAGGGTTTTATATTAATGAAACCAAGATTTAATTCTTTTAATAGGATCCTTTATTGTAAGATACTTTAACACCTTAAACTTTACTTTCAATATAGAGTAAATCTCCTTTTTTATTCATTCGTCAATGCAAGAAATCTTTCTTTTCTTATATAATAAGGGTAAAGTGATCCACAAAGGCAATTGTTGTTGCAACAGAGACCAACATCGAGTGTCATTCAGCGGAGAAGACTTTCCCTTTCAATGGACAGGGCCAAAACCAGTTATGTCTGCCCCCTTTTCCCTGTCTGCTATTTTCTTCTATTTGGTGGCCACTTGTCCAAGAGAAGACACATGACACAAGTGGACTCGAGGAGCATGAGGCATGGAACCATGGATGGAGACGCCCTTGGGCCCATGGGTGCATCAATCAGTTGCTCTAATAAAGAAGAAAAAACACGAACAAATTGTCCGGTTTGGAGATGTAATATGGTTGGAATGGTTCCAGGAGAAGGGGAGCACTGGATCGAAAAGGGAAGTTGTTGTCAAGTGCAGGGCCAGTTGGGTATTCGGTGTTCGGAGTTCGATCTTCGAGTTGTTGCTAAGCCGGCAAACAAACACGAACAAACCATTTACCAAGTATGTATGTACATATGGCCAGGCATTACTCATACGACGCGTTGTCACTCCCCTGCTGCTGCTGCTGGTGCACACTCCACTGGCTATTTTTAATACCCAAGCCACATAATTCATTGTAATTTGCCTTTTGCTGCTGCCAGAGTCTCAGGCCCCCTTTATTTTTTTTTTTACATATCTTTTCAGTTGCATTTCGTTTTGGGAAGTGAAGAAAAAAAAAAAAACAGACAAAGAAACGAGAATCCAAGGGGGTTGCAGTCAGGCACTTGACTCCGGTCCGCTCTTCGTCACACGCAAATGCGCAATCTGCCAAGAATATATAATACACATATCTCTATCTACTACTACTGTGCTTCTGCTATATATCTTGGTATCTACACACATGTTTCACTTGCCTTGACTTTGGTCTCGTCTCGACTCGTCTCTCTTAAATCTTTTGGCATTCGCTCAATGTAAACTACTGCAAAATAATCCTTTTGGTTTTTTATGCATTTTACCCTCCTAAGTTTTAATCATTTCGATTTAGCCGGCGAATGCAAAACCCCCCTAAAAAGTGAGTCATCCAATAAGCTTTTTCTATGGCAAACAAATTAGTCATCAGCAGCCTTAAGGGGCAACAATAAAATATATATAGAGTGTCACCAAGTTTTAGCTTGAAAAAAGTTGGTCAATCAGTTTGGTAACATTATACTGATATAAAGCTTTGAGATTGTCAACAGCTGGTTATGAACAAACATTTTATTGTTTAATAAAAACGTTCATTATTTAGTAATATTTTACTAAGGATTTTTGCAATTTGCAGTTTATTGTTTTGGCTTAAACAAATCGTGAATTTAAATTATCGATTATAGATTTTGGTATTTAAAAACTGAAAAACAAAATTTCAATCTTGCTAATCCATTAATCCATTGTTAAATAGCCTTTAAAACCTTTGAATTAATCGAATAAACCTTGCATATTATTACAATTTATCATCGTAATTTTCTTCAATTTATATCTTTAATGCCAATTTACTATTTTGGCATATTTTTGCAGTGTATGACAATTGAGTAAACTTTTGTACGCTTTAAAGCGAACTTAATTAAAGCGACCTTTTGTGTCACGCACGTGTTGTTTTTGTTATTGTTACTGAGCCACCGCCCCCACAGAATCACATATTGGTTCTCACAAAAAAAAAAAAAAGAAAGAAAAAAGTTCCAACACATTCCATGGCTAATTTCATTGATGAATTTTTATTAAATAAATTATTATAATGAGGTTTACCCTCTATTAGAGGTCGCTCCCTCTTTCTCCATATCTTTTTTGTCTATCCTTTTCTATCTCTCTATGATTTTGTACACTTCCCGCCTAAGCAAGCAATTCCAGCAAATGGACGTAAAGGCGAATTTGCAAACAAACAAAGCAAAAAAAAAAAAGCATAAAAATAACAACAACAAATAAAAGCTAAAAACAACAACAAATTATTTGAGTGGCGAAATTATTTCTTGTGCTCGAAAGAGAGACAGCTAAGCCACAGTGGGGAAGAGAAGGCGGCGCGTGTTGGCACTTTAGAGATTTGAAATGAACCTGAAACTAGCCCTAGACTACTACAACACTAGACTGCATGGAAATTGTACTAAAATTCAACTTATTTTTTTTTTTAATAATTGAGGTTTGAAAGTACCTTAAATTAAAGGTGTAAAACTAAAAATAAAACTCTCAGAAATAATGATATATTTTGCAAATTAAAGAGTTTGTAAGAGTTTAGAAAACATGTCTTTAAGATATGAAAATTATAAAATCCCACAAAGTTTCCCTTATCTATACTTTACTAATATCTCTTAGTTACTCTGTGTAAGCCAGTGTAATATTTTCTAGGGGAGGGCACCATCGGACGTTCTCAAAACTTGTTCAAACAACAACGCTTTGTGCGTTCTAAAAATAGTCGAATGCAAACCAAAGTCTCGGGCTCTGTCCGTCCATAAATAACTTTCGGGCTCTGCCGCTCCTCTGTCTTTGACTTAATTGATTAAGTCTCCTCCTCCCGCTTTAGACAAAAAAAAAGTAGACAAAGCGGCAGCGTCTTGTGTTTAATCGTGTAAATATTTGATCAGTTCAATACTAGTTGAGATAAGACTGAAAATTCCAGTCGTAAATGTGATCACAAGCTCTTTTTGTGAATGAACTGAAACGCATAGAATTTCAATTTGAACAGGAAAATGGGAAAACTGATAAGATAGGAGACGCCGTTGATTTCCAATTGAAATGTTTCTGGTTACTACCAAGTAATTTCGATTGAAATTCAATTATAAATATTTTGTTAATTTTCTTAAGTTTCTGTTGATGCTGTTATCAATTTCCTAATGCTTGTTCATTCCTGAAAAATATATATTTATTCCTATCAATTTCTTAGAAAATCCCCATAGAAATGCTTTTAGAAATTCCTATTACTATGGAATAGTATGAATATTGTTCTTGTGACTCACCTTTCAGTCTCGGATTCTGCATTTGGTTGCTGTTGTAGCTGTTGTAACTGCATTGCTGCTGATGTCGATGTGGCTGCTGGTGCTGATGTTGCTGCTGCTCCGGTTGCTGTTGTTGCGGCGGTCAGTTGTTCATCGGTCAAGGTCAGCGCGTTTTTCGTTAGCTCTGCATTGGCCACAACATTTGGATTCGTTAGGTTTAGATTACTATTATTGGCACTAGCACTCGCGATATTTGTTGGCGGAATCTGTTGTTGCTGCTGCTGCTGTTGATGTTCATCCTGTTGCTGCTGCGGCACCATCAACTGCTGCGGATCGGCAATTGTGGCAGGAGCACTTTGCAAATGTAGCGTTGGAATCACTGACGGGGCAACAGCAACCGATGTTGCTGCCGCGCCTGTTCCTGCTCCGGCTGTAGTTGCTCCTCCTGCACCGGCAGCTGGTGGCTGCTGCTCGTAGCTGGTCATGTGTGATAGGAGCGGCAATGTCTGACCCTGGCCAGTGGTCACCGCTGCATTGGAAGTGTTTGAAGTCTGTTGCTGTATTGCAGTTGCTGCTGCTGCTGCAGTGCCACCTACTGAAGTTGCCGCTGCTGCTAATGGTGGGGCTTGTTGCTGTGGTGTGGACTGCTGTGGGGTCTGCTGCTGCTGTTGTTGTTGAGGAAACTGTGTCTGTGGAAGTATGCCATCTATCTGAGATGTTGCCTGTGGCTGCGGCTCCAATTGGAAGTTGGGGGCAGCCTGCCCGGCAGCCACAGCTGCGAATGTGGGTGTGATTTGAGGTGTCTGTGGGGCTGGTGATAATGGTTGCTGCTGCTCCACATAGCTGGTGCTTAGCTGCGACTCTGTTGTTGCTGCTGCTGGTGCTCCACCAGCTCCTCCTCCTCCTCCGCTGTTGTTGTTGTTGGGCGCAACGCTAGGAACATCGCCGCCATTCTGGTATCCCGATTCCATGGCCTCCTCGCGCTGTTTCAATTGCTGTAACGTCTGTTGTAGCTGCATGGCCGCCGTGAGAGCATAACCCATGTTGCCGGTATCCACGGACTGTGGGTTGGGTGAGCTGGCATTGGCATTAACGCTGTCAAAGAGCTGCTGCTGCTGTTGCTGCTGGGCCTCCATGTGCAGCTGATGCATCCCGTGCACCACTGTGGCCGGCGCTGTCATCACCCCACTGGGCGTGGCACTCATCTGTGGCTGTTGCTGCTGGTGCGAGGATTGCTGCTGCTGCTGCTGCGAGTGTTGCTGATGCTGCTGCTGCTGCGCAGATTGTTGCTGCTGCGACTGCTGTTCCGCATAGTTCCAATTGGCATCGGTCGAGTTGGCCTCCAGGTGATTCTCGTTCAGTTTCTGGGTTGGCGGCAGGATCATGCTCTGGGTGGTCTTTTGCGGCGGGCCATCTGATCCACCAACGCCATCCGTTGTGGCCTCGGAAGAAGAACCAGTCTTTTCGTTGTTATTACCACCACTTCCCACACTGGAGTGGTCCAGGTAATCCATGCACATCCAGCGACCCCGTTTAAACGGCTCCGTGGACTCGATCTTGACCACCTTAAAACGCTCACTGCGATGCTGCGTCTCCTTGATGTCGTCCTTCTTCTTGGTGCCACCGGGAGTAACGGCGGCACTCACCACATTGATGATGTTATCCGACACGTTTACCTGCACATTTTGAATGGTCTGGCCAAGGGAGGGCCCAATGGGATCCACAACCACCAGGCCGTACTGCGAACTGGTCGGGATTACGGGAGCATTGGTGCTGAGTGCATTGTTGGCATAGTAGACCTCCTCCTTGGAGAATGTATCCTCCGACATCGAGGGCGTCTCATTCTCCAGATCCGTTATCCGACTATTGTCATCCGTGTGAGATTCGTCCAAATCATCGGCCGACTCGTCGCCAGTATCGCCGGCAGCATTCAGCTTCGGGTTACCCACGGTCACCGAGGTGATCTCAAATGAGGAAGTCGTCTTTGGTTTGCGTGTGGTGGAGCCGGCACCAGAACCGCCAGTGGATCCCGATCCAGAGGCCCCACTAGACACGGTCAATGAGGCGTGTCCCTGGCTGAGGCTAGTCTGATGCGGATGCTGCTGCTGGTGGTGGTGATACTGGTGATGATGATGGTGATGGTGGTGGTGATGTGGCTGATGATGATGGCTGGCCGTTCCAATGGCTCCTGCTGGCCCTGCTGCTGTAGCTGCCGCTGCACCACCCACAGCGCGTGCCCCGTTGTTGTTGGGTGAACTGGCCTTGCCACCACTGCTGCCGCGGCTGCGGCTGTTGCCACTCGCCTGCGACTGTTGCTGCTGCGGGGTTGCATTGCTGTCACTGCCACTGCTGCTGCTGGACTTGGGTAACAGCGATGTGGATGTGGATGTGGTCGTGACCGTTGCCGTGGGCAGGCTAGTGTTGCTACTGGCCCGCGATACGCGATTAAGGGAGTTTAACCTTAAACTTTCGCTGGTGGTACGCTGAAGAGTGGCTGCGGCGTTGCTGCCGGCATTGTTGCTGTTCTGATAGATGTTGGGGCCATAGCACATGGCGTAGTCTCTGGTCAGCGAATTTACCTTGGTCAGCTTGCGTATGTTGCCACCAGTGCCGCCCACACTGGCTCCTTTGGCTGGTGTCAGCATGGAGTTTCTGCGTCCAGGATTTTGTCCAGTTCCAGCATTAGCAGCCGATGTCTTGAACTTGGCATTGACCGTGCGATCGAACATATTGCTAAGACTGCTGCGCTGCTGTTGCTGCTGCTGCTGCGGGGTATTACTACTGGTGGCTGCTACTGCAACTGTTGCTGCTGCTGATTGCTGGCGGCGCACAAGGGGCAGGGCTTCCTGGGAGTTTTCCGGCGAAGAGGCCTGCGAGTTGGTGGGCGATTGATTAACTAAACTCGATGCTGCTGGGCTGACTGCGTTGACTAATGAGGAGGTGCTGGCTAGTGGAGGCTGTTGTTGCTGCTGCTGATGATGCTGCTGCTGCTGCTGTTGTTGTTGTTGCTGTTGGTGACCCGAATCTTCGCTGGCCGCACTTTGATTCTCGGCCATAATCGGATTGGATTTCAGCGTCCGCAAAGTCTTTAGCAAATAATCCAGGATTGCTGACGATTCTTGGATTATTTGGGCCACGGAAAAAAATGTTACGATATAAACTATGGTTTATTGAATTAGTTTTTTTGTTGTTGTTATTTGCTTGTCTAGTTGTTGTTTTTTTTTTTTTTTTATGGTGTTATTTTCTCTATTATTTTGGCTAGTTAGCTGTCAGTTGTTGTTCCTGCTGCTGCTTCTGCTGCTTGCCCGCCAATTCGAATGCGATTTTAGCACGACACCGATGCATAATAGCGGTTAGGTTTAGTCGAAACGTTGCGTTGCGTTGTCAGGTGCCACCGACTGCCAACTGATCTGATCCGATCCGATACCGCACTATATCGTACTATATACCGTTCCGTTCCGATCCGATCCGATCCGATACGAGGACTAGCGACGATCGCGACGATTACGACGCGAGGCAAGTTTGAACCGACAACAGTAAGTAACGCGAAACTCTTGTTTATTTCCACTTGGATTTTCTTTTCTTTGTGTTGTTGTTGTTGTTGTTGTTGTATTGTTGGGAGTTGATTTTGGTTTGGGGCTAGGCTAATAAATTTAAATTAATTTAGGGGATGCTATTATAATCTGCCTTTCCGCGCTTTATTGGCGGCAACAACAACACTCGTAGTTGTAGTAGTAGAAGTGTGTGGGACACCAACACTGAGCACAGCTGATTTTGGCAGCGACAGCGCCATCTAGCGCTTGGCTTTGTTGAATTTTTTCCTTTCTTTTGTTAAATATTATGTTTAAATCTATACTTAGTATTATATTTCTTGCCACGAAACACTCACACACGTGTGCACCCCTTCGAAACACACACACAGGTGGTGGTGCATGTGTACAGCACAGCTGTTAATCGATTCAATTCCAAATTGATTCGATTCGATTCTTGGATTCCAATATTTTTAAGTTGTTACGTTTCTTTAAAATTTTGGACTTTGACTTTTGAGTAGACGACGGCGGCACACACTTAAAATATTTACTTATTGATTATGAAAATATTTTGGTGATTTTGGTTAACTAAGGATTTGATTTAGACTTCTATATATTATATAATTTATATTGGTTGCACTTTTCCTTCTTTGTCATCTCTCCTCTCCACACGCACAATTTCTTTTGTTTATTTTTTCTTTTCCGTTTTTGTTGTTGGCTTTCTCGTAGAATTAATCAGTTTCTTCGGTTCCGTTTACTAGCACATTGCAGTAAATTGTAGAAATGAATTCCTGTAAAACAGCAGAGCAGAAAGAGAACGATACGGTCAGAATTAAATTCAATTACCAAGATATATAGATGTATTCAATAAACATAAATATTATTTTCTTCTATTTGTTTATTAAATTAAATGCACATGAAGCGATATGCCGGCACACAGACACACACACACACACGAAGATAGAGACAAAGGCGGAAGGTGAAAGCCAAGGGATAAGGTAAATAATTGCACTGAACAACGCGACGTATACGTAATACGAGGGCTAGAGACAGAGAGGGAGGGAGAGAATGGAGGGAAAGGGGTGAAACCTCCCCAAGTGGAAAAACATTTGTCAAGAGTTCATTTGGGTAATTACCACAATGCATTTAAATTGTGGCCAAGCATTAATAATGATCTACTCAATAAAGGTTTGCTATTGCTTAATTAATTTCACCTAAATACTTTTAAGAAAGGAAACCCCTTAAGGTTGTAAAAGATTTTAATAACATTTAGCAATAATTTACTTATAATTTTTAAGTGTAAAAGAATGTAAACCATTTTTATAACTAATATAACAATGGTTATTATCAATGTTTTCACTATCAAAACATTATTCTCCAACGGATTTAAAATATTTATCTATCGGGTGCTGGGCTTAGGTTAAAAACCAATCTGCTGCCTCGCTTTATTAAATGATTTTCTACAAGTATCTAGTTAAATTTCATAACTGCGTAGTTTATGTTCGCTTATTATCATCATGAACATGATGTTGATGATGCTTTTGTGTGTTTTT